CCGAACTAGGATCTTATTTTAAAATGATTGTTCGGTTCCTTGTGCCTTTCCTGTTCTCGGTGTACGTAAACAATCACAGTACCTTCGGTTTGTCGCAAAGAGTTACATATTCACGAGATAACTGAATTCTGTTCGAATAGAGCCTAGCATGTCAAATTACAGCATATATGTTTCTTGGATGGACCTCTGTGAGATTTGCTCATTTTGTGAAGATATCTTAAAATTTTTAATTGACAATATTTTTTCCGACTTCTTCTTGAAAACTTCTACTCCGATTAGTTTTATATTGGTATAAATGTATATTGGAAGGATCTCTGTCATAATTAAACATTTAGTGATGATATTTTGATTTTTGGTAAAATGATATTTTCGACTTTTTTTCGAAAACTCTATTGCTTTAATACATTGTACATATCTCCCTTGGATGGACCTCTATGTGATTTGATCATTTTGTGCTGATATCTTCAATTTTCTACTTTAAATGAAAATAAATTTTATTTTATTTCTTAAAAGGTGCTTGTTTAAACTGTATATCTGATTTATATTGCGTGTTTACATATCTGCCTCAGAAGCACGGTGAACAGCAAAACACACCCGGTTTTGTATTCACGTTGGAGGATGTGAGTCAGTAATTAAGAGAATAATAAAACTGCAAGGGGACTCTTACTTTTGGTACATCAACAATGTGACACATTGTGTTGACAAGGTAGGTAATCATTAACTTCAAAGGCCGACATGTTCAGACTACTCAAGTGTTTTTTTCTACTCATAAATGCGTCAATAGTTGCGTTTCCATACACGTTGAACAGGCAGAACTTATTGGACTGGGCTGATCTCATCTGACTTGGTATAATTGGACTCACGCAAAGACACCTGTTGATTTTTGGTTTCAACATGCCTTCGACAATCTCTGACGAACTACCGTTAATCGCCGACGACCCACCAGTGAACTTTGAGGTCTCGAGACCGACAGTGGATGGTTCAGTGGAAGGCGTGCGGGGAACAAGGCGATTGAATCGCACCAACGAACAGGGATACCAGTCACGAACGGCGTCTAGGCTTGGGATAGCACATATTACTGTCGGCTCGGTGATCGTGGTGTTGGGTATAGCAACAGTGTATTTCCAGTGTGTGTTGTATTTCATAGCCTTGCCATTATGGACTGGGTCGTTTGTAAGTATTATTATGTCTATATGTCTCTAACCACAGTAAGGGACTCTGCTCTAACTGAGCTGCGACGTGAGCCTCACCACGTCCATACCCGAGCTGCCTAACGAAGTATTACGGTAATACGGGATTTTAAAAGATGGGGTTTAATTAATCAGGCATTCATTATTATTTTAATTATTCAAATATTATTTTCAAAATTGACAACCACGGGAACGTGACTGCAGTCGCCACGAGGTATTTACGGGTTAACATGTAAGTACGCTCATATAATGAAACAAGTGTCCACATTTGCGTTATGTGTATGTGTGTGGTCGAAAGTCACAGTCAAAACGTCCCACGCTACAATACATGGTCGTCGTCTGGTCAGTATGGACACACAGACGGGGACAGGACATTTTAAATCTGGATAAAAAAAAATCGTTACTTAAATATATGACACATTTCCTGTGTCGTCGCTGTAATTGTTGCGAGCTCTCAAATACGTGATGTCATACTCTCGTCATAACAAAGGTATTTATTCCATCTTTATATCGACCCAATGAGCAGTTGAATCTAACCAGCCAATCAGCGAGCGCAGTGTACAATGATGTCATTTGAAAACGTTCCAGTCTTATTCAATTGGCCAATAAAAAACATTTATTTCAGTTTTGAATTGTAAAACGACTAAATATTTATCAAGATAGGGTGTACATTCAAAGTATGACCCCTTTACTGCTGAGAAAGTCGTTCACCTCGTGGCATTGTGCGATGTTGCAAAATGATGGCTGACTATAAGCCAACAAGGCTCCGCTTTGCTGCAGTTTATGCAGCTCTCTTGGTCGTGGTATACGTTGCGGGCGACCATCTATGGCCGCAACGTAATATCAAAATAGCTTAAGCGGCCAATAAGAGCTGCTAAACTGCAGCAAGGCTCCGCTTTGCTCTTGCTAAATTTATTACATGTATTAAAGACTAGTAACTCACGAGGTCCTTGATATGTCATTTCAGTGCACGTAACGAAGATTTGATATTCCAAACGGGCAAGCACAGCGACTAGACTAAAGATATCTTTATATTTTATTTATTTTGAAATGAGCTTGAGACATTTACGTAATGACGTCACATATAAAAAGAAAGTGATTTGCTGCGCCCATCTGCCGTCAAAACAGCCACTAATGTGACACTATAACATCAAATGGGCCGTGACTGTTAAATAAAAGCTATTAACAAAATCACCGGAACTGTCTGTTCCACATTACCAGCGACGCCACACAGTGCATCGTATAATACACTTTCTTGGCATTTAAAGAGCGGTGGTCGTCGCGCCGCGCATGTGCTACATTTTTTGTTGATAACTTTGATTTTCCAAAAAATCCAATGCGCTTTTCTAATGTAAATCACGAGTACAAGTTTTGATCTGGGCGCAACGTGCACTAATTACCGCCGGTAACTCATTCGATACCTTCCAATCACTAAGGAAATTACATAGTTA